AAATGCACCAGCAACATTTAATCGTTATGTGACGCAGTTGTTCCGGTCCCACTCGGCATATGCGCAGACATACTTCGACGACATCTTCGTCCACAGTCGTGCGGCACGGGAGGACAGCTTAGAAAAAACCGCACCGTCCATTCGAGAGCGGTTCTCGAGTGCATGCGCACGAAAAAGATTTTGCGGAAATGCCCACCAATTTTCGAATTTCGTTAATGAAAATGCGGAATGGTGTTGGGACATCGAGCATCGGGATAAAATTTTCGCGGTAAATGACGGCCTTCTTCATGCACTTTTACAGGCTTTGCCAGATCCCCGATCGTTCTTTTAGTGTCGTCTGTGACGCTTCGGACTTTGTCACCGAACGTGCATTGCTGCAAGCAGAAGCCGAAGGGCGAGATCGGTTGATCGCGTCTGAATCTCTTGAGCTTAAGGCTGTGGAGACGAACTACCCTGTCCATGACAAGGAATTACTTGCGATGAAGTATGCACTTGTCAAGTTCAGGGTGCACCTGCTCGGCTCAAAGTCGTTTGTGATCTACACAGATCATGCGTCATTACGCACTGCGATTCGGTCGCCTCACCTCTCGCAGGGTGGCTCTCATTCGTCGCAGAATATAACTTCGAGGTGAAGTATAAGCCAAAAAAACAGATTGCTTTGATTGATGGATTGTCACGCAGATCGAATTATGAGCTTGCTCACGTCACGTCGATGACGCCGTCGGTGACGAATTTGATCCGCGCCACGAACGCGGGTCATGATATGCGTGTAGCACTGGTACAGGCTCCCAATAGCAAGGTGTATAAAACTTGGACTGGAAATTGTCGGCGCGTTTGCGCTCACAGTAACGTCAAAATTCGTTGAATAACGATTTACTGTATTATAGCACCGTTTCACCGGACACTCCAAAATTGTAGTTCCTCACGATGAGGATTTGAAATATCGCACCCTTTATGAGACCCACGCAGTTGTCATCCCGGTCGTGAGAGGACCTACAGCTCTGTGAGTTGCCACTACTGGTGGCATAAGCTATACAATTGAACGAGCACGTATGTGCGCACGTGTGAGACGTGTGATAGGGTGAATCCCTCTCCAGATACGACTGAGCCGCTGGCCAATTTACAGGTACCCACCGGGTGTTGGCAGTCCATGAGTATGGGCTTCTTATTTGGGCTGCCGAAGGACTTGGCGGCCAACAGGGGTGTCGTGGTCTTTGTGGACCGGTTAAGCAAGACGGATCATCTTTCGGCACCATCGACTGTGTCGGTACCGCGACGCTGTTTGTCGACCGTGTCTTTGGACAGCATGGACTCCCACAGTCAATTGTCTCTGAAAGAGACCCGCGTATAACTGGGAAGGTTTGGTCTCCATCTTCAAGGTGCTGGACACCACGTCGACTATGTCAGCAGCGGACCATCGACAGATGGATGGTCAGACTGAGCGCATGAATCGCGTCGCTGAAGACGTTCTCGCAGCTTCTGCGCTAATACGCCAAAGCGCTGGAGTGTCATGCTGCCACTCGTAGAGTTTGATCTGAACAATGTAGTGCATATTGTCTACCGGCTACACGCCGTCCTTCGCTAACGAGCTTCTAAATCGTCGCGTCCCGCTGACGCCGCCATCCCATGGCTCAGAGCTTGGTGGGGGAGAAATAGCCGAACGGCTAGCTGATATCAGCCGTAAAGAAGTCGATTACTTCCTGTCTACCAGACTGGGTGTCCTACAATACGTTTGCGATGCGATGGCTGAAAGCCATGACATGTAAGAAGTATTTAGAAAAAAATGCAGAAGCAAGAAGCAGAAGAGATGTGGAAAAGTTTGAGGTCCGAGACCTGATTTTTTGAATACTAAACACCCTCCTACACATGCAGTCTCTGCTGTAATTAAGACAAAGCTCCGTCTACGGTTTATTAGACCCTTTAAGGTCGTGGCATTGCGAGGCCTTGCATATACGCTAAACCTTTCGAAACGGATGCGCACTTACCCGGTGTTCTATGTGGGCTTTCTTAAGCCGTACCGGAATCTGGAAGTGAATGCAGAAACGGTGGCTCCGGGACGGCGCCCAAAGGCGCTCGGCCACCCAGAAGTTAAATCAGCAACTGGTTCTGAGCACGGAGACGGGGTGCAACGATTTCCGATTCTTATGACGCAATGCGATCCACCGTCCCACGAGTGACGTATTCGTCTGTACAACGACTAGAAGCCGCCCCGACAGAGCGCGATAATCCTTAACGTGAGGCAGTAGGTGCCCAAAGTGCTCCAGACTCTCGAGGTCTTCCGTACAGCGGTAGACGACATCGGAAAGATGCTTGGTGGAATGGCGATGACGACGGACTATGTCCTCCAAAGCTTGAAGAGCATCGTGAGTCACCGGACGGCGATCAAACAGGTCGTCAACGACCGCCGTTGACTCTTCTCGACGAGAACGGTGGCGTCTACTGCCACGTGAAACACCTCGTTGGTCGACGTCGTCACTAGGGTCAAACCCAATATCTTGTGTAGTGGCGGGGG